TTGGATACGGGCGCTTTATCGTGTCTGCACAGGTCCTTTAAAAGCGGCCTCTCTCACATGTAACTGGGCTTGTTTAACACTAGCCACTGCTGCTACACGGAGTTTTGTGCATAATGAATTCCTCCCCTTAGGGGCTTTAGCCCGCTCCTGTTGACTGGGCTTTTGATAATTTTAATGCTCCGAGCACTTCCCCACTTAAGACCACTATACGTTGCAGATTAGAGGCAGCTTCTCAGATGGTCCACGGTTATAAATGAGCGTAACAAGCTTCCGCTTCTGGCATCACACTACATTAAACTATGCGTTGTCTGAACTTCTGAACAGTGTATAGGCAAATTTAAGTGTGGCGATTAGCTCGCTACTTGTATATGCAAATGAGAAGCGTAAAACCAGGCAGCCTATTCGTACACATGGTTACTTCTAAAGCTATTTTAGTAAATAGGGAGAAAGAAAGAGAGAAGGAAAATGATAAAAGATGCGATTTAGCAGGGCTTGATGCCGCAAAGACGACCCCCTATTTGAAAAGTTCTGTATCAGGACGTACTTCACGTTTGACGGAAAAATCTACGAGCAGGTGAAGGGGACACCGCTGGGTTCACCGACTTTGGGACTCATGGCCGAGGCGGTCCTGCAACGGCTGGAGTCGCTGGTCTTTCAACATCACAGACCAAAATTGTGGACGCAGTATGTGGATGACACCTTCGTCGTCATCGAACAGGATCAGGTGCTCACTTTAAAGGAACGTCTCAATAGCGTCTTCCTGGACATTCAATTTACGATGGAGGAGAAAGAGAACAACCAGCCGGCCTTCCTTGATGCCCTCGTCTCTCGCAAAGATTGTGTTAGCCGAAAGACTAAAGTATTCAGGAAAGAGACAATCACGATGCAGTCTTCATCTCAATTACCTCCTCGGACTCGCATGTTCGTTTGTATTGACCCCCTATTTGTCATCTTCAAACATTAAGCAATTTCTTTTACTTATAACCATATCCTCTTTAAAATTACTTTCACCAATATTTGTCACAACGACACACTCTAAAGGGATAACGCCCACCTAACGCATAGCTGCAGATGAGTAGGCAGGCGATTCCGCGTGTCTTTGGAACTTCAGGCCAGAACCCTCAACTAATGACAACTAATCAGTACTCAGTAGATATTGTTGACCACAGTGTGGAAGACCGCAACGGCCGACTGGATCAGGGCTTGAACTTCGAGTCCGCACATTGCGAGGATAGTACATACTGACTTATAAGCCCGAAATGGTCATTGCAGTCCCCCTCGTTCTTACTGATAACAGTTCTACTGTGGCGGAACTTTTGCTGTCAATCGGCTTACGAAGAACCCTGCTCTTACTGCAAAGCAAAGGAAGTGCGGAATACTTTTGTCTGGTTTTCTTCGATCGCCGGGTTATAATCTAAAAACTGTGAGTCGTCTGATCTGTGATTCCATGCAAGCACGAAGCAATTTTGCTTTCAAAATGACAGTGGCAGATCTGTGGTGACTCACTCCACATATGCGAGCATGCCT